GGGAAGGATGGGGAAGGATGGGGAAGGATGGGAAGGATGGGAAGGATGGGAAGGATGCTGCCTTAACTGACAGATGCAGAGTGGAAGGGGCCAGCCCGTGAGTACCTGCAACTGGTTTGGGCAGCACACTATTCCATCCCTGGGCTCTGGTGACAAATCCCTCTGTGGATCACTTCCAGACAAGAGTCTGGGGTCTAAACCTGAAACTGAGACTGGAGCTGAGCACCAAGCAAGGATCTTGTGCAGCCTTCCTTCATCCGGAGTATGCCAACACTTTCTTAGAGCTCAGGGACAAGAAGATAAATTTCTTTTTGTCCTTTACTTACACATCTGCCCAGCACAGGTTGGTTTTGATTCCCAGAGTTCAGAACTGATGCAAAGGTTACTTTGCATCTGACTGGATCAGTTCCACTGATATATAGGAATCAGGCAAATAGTGTGCCTGCTGATGCTAATTAAACTTGATATATCAATATCATATCAATATATTATGTGACATAATAAAGTAGCAAGAGAGGTATCTGATTTATATTTCATGTGACTTGGAAGTATATATAGGCAAGTAAATATATTTCTTTTGATCAGAATATTGATACACACTTATTGCAAAAAAGCCCATATGCAGCAGAGGTGGTGAAATACATTGAAGCAGGTCAAAACCCAAACCAGGTTCAAAGAGATCTGAAATTAATTAGGCCATTAAGAGAGTTTTCCAGTGGAATACTCTCTTTTCTGTACATATACACACACATATTTAATACATTTGACAAAATCAATATTTATCTAGGGAGAGGTTCCGTTTTTAGTGAACCATCACTTTGTTAAAAGTATTACAAACCATCACTTTGTTAAAAGTATTATTCTCATGGAAAAACCCTTGACTAGCTCTACGAGTAACTGCCACCTGTTCTTTTTTAACCTTTATGAGCTGATGGCCAGAACTCCTTTAACACAAGCCATCAATAAACCCAGACTGAAAACTTTTCCACTACTGCAGAAGGAAAACACAGACTCACGGGTCTGGAAGAAACACAGAGGAACAAAAGCTCAGCTTGCCCATTTTCCTGCCCCAAATCAGAGACCTTCAAGGACAGAGCTGCCACCTCCTTGCCGAGCCCATCTGTGCCATCACACCTCCACCATTCCTGTTAAACAGCTTTTCCCAGTGCCTGAACTCCCCTGCAGTGGAGAGTGCAGCTCAGTGGTAGGAGGGGTTCTTCCCAAAATCTGCACCCCAGTTCAAGCCCCGCCAAGGCTCTGCCCAGCTGGCACTGATGGCCAAAGGAGCAGCATGCCCAGGAGGCTGGGCACACCCCACAGCTCCTGGCAGGGCTCACAGTGTGTCCTGTGCAGCCTCCCAGCCCACAGCTGAGCCCGGGCTCAGGGCAGCACTTACAGAAGTGAGGGAAGGATCCCGTCTCCAGGGAATAGGGAGCCTGCGTGCCCGGCTGCATTTCCAACCTGTGTCCTGGCTCTTCAGCAGACTCAACCATGAAGGGAGGTTTGGGATCCACTCCCTCTGCAGCTCTGGGCTGTTGGAGAAAGAAAGGAGTATTTACATATTACAGAGCAGCATCTTCACAATCTGTCCTGAGTTACAAATTTACCTCCCAGACCTTGACCGGGACTGGGGTTTCCTGTGTTTGCTCTTTGGGCTCTGTCTCTTTGGAAAGTGGGAGATGTTGCAATGCCAGGGGGAGGGCTGGGGAGGGCTGGGCTGCCTGGGAAGGGCCCTGCCACGCCAAGCAGTCAGTCCACAGTGGCTCTGCTGACAAAGTGTCTCCTGGAAGCGACTTCTCTTCTAATTCCAGCTCCTAAAGGAACGAAACCGAGCCAACAACTGCCATCCACACGGCCTGAGCATCTGTCTCAGTCCTGCTTCCCTCCTTCTCCCTGCCTGCTGACTGTTTTTCTCACCTGCACCAGCCCTGTCTGGTAACAGGCATCAAGAGGGTGGCAGTGTCAGCCCCATCACCGCTGGACTCCCGTGCTGGAGACCAAGCATGGCTCGTTTTGTCTCCCCAAAGCTGTCTGAGGACAATGGGGGCAGGTGTGAAGGCAGCAGTGCTCTGTACACGTTCCTGGGCAGTGTCCCTGGCTCTTGCAGGTGACCTGGCCAGACCCTTGTCTCCAGGAGGCTTTCAGAAAACAAGCAGCCTGTGCTGTGACCGGTTTTTCTGGTGCTGAAGTTAGAGCCCCTGGCTTTGTTCCTGCGCTCGCTTATCTCTGTTACATTCTCCAACCATGCATAGACATCTTCGTGTTTGGATTTTGCCAGTCCTGATGGAGAAGAGCTACAGGCAAACAACATTCCTCTCCCCTGTCTGAACTGATAATCTTGGTATCTCATCTCCTCTGCGCTCCCCTTGGGCTGTGTCAACACCGCCGGGGTTGTGAAGGGCAGGATTGCTCTGCCTCCACTGCCCCATCCTGTACACTGTGTGCTGCCCAGCCCGGCACAACTCCACCAAGAATTCCTCTGGGGTGCCAGTCAGACCTGCAAGGGGCTTTTAACCACCTCCCCCTGCTAGATTTCTCCACGTTTACAGCAACAAAACACGCGGGTCCCAAAGCGCAGAGCGGTCTCAAGACATCGCCCTCCAGAGACTTGGAGGATCTGGAGCCTCTGCACGGCTGAGATCAGCAGCCAGAGCACTGCCAAAGCCAAGCTGGGCCACACAGCCCCTTCCACATCAGTGCCAAGTGCCAGCACATCTCCTGCAGGAGGAGCAGCCACAGGGAGTCCAGGCATGCAGAGCTAGCGAGGGTGCCAAAGCGCTGGTTTGCTTTTGCTTGCCTTTTCAGGAAATTCTTAACCTGAAACTGCAACAAATTCCTCAAATTCAAGTTCTCATGGAGCTGAAACCCTGCAGGGTAGTCTGGATTGAAGCCAGGAGGTGAGAAAAGACACTACTCTTTTCTCCACTCCAGCGTGCTCCATCAGCCACGAGCATTGCCCCTCTTATGTCCTTGCACTGCTGTGGATAAGATGGATCCAAACTCCTTCTTTTCCTTCTTTATTTTGTTTTTACCCAGGAAGGGCTGCCCAGCAGCCTGATCGCGACTCAGGGACTCCAGATCCCCTCGAACCTGCCAGTGACCTTTCAGATCCACTCAGGCTTGCCTCCCCAGTGCCCACAAACAGCGAGATTTTCTGAGCCCTCAGCTGTGGTGCTCACATCCCTCTTGCCATCCCTTTCCCTTTCTCAGACCTAACACATCACAGCAGCTGCCAGAGCATGGAGCTGCCCCAGAAATGAATCTCCAGTGTGACATGGCACAGCTTTAATTACACGACAGGAGCTGTAAGAAAGGCTGCAAAAATCTCAAAACCTTAAATCTCCACTTGAGGCACTTTATGTGGCTGAAGTAGCAGGACATGAACTCTCCAAGCTCACAGAAGAGCTGATTCAATGTCCTGTTGATGCAGTGCAGCCAAACAAACTAATGATGGACAGGACTGTGGGCTTTCGTGTGCAAGGGGAGGATTTACAGTGATAGCAAAGGAATTATTTCAGCCCCATGGTGACAATACCCACCAGCTTCCTTATTATATTTTATTGATCTTGCCCTAAATACATGTGGCTGGAGGAAATGATGCATAAATTACTAACAAGTTAATTTCTTGCTCCGACACAGACTCACAACAGCCCTTTGAAGAGGAACCAGGAAAGACAATGTGTGAAAGGATAAAGGCAATGAGACAAGCTTGGATGTAATAATCCCATGTGAATGATTATTGCTGCAACTAATGTAATCTAATAATGAAGAATTTACACCAGATGTCCCCCAGAATTATGCCAGGCAGACTCAGGATTCAGCAGTGGATCCATTTCTAAGGAAACCTTGTTAGGAGGGGGAAAAAAATAATGCTGTTGTCTGTTCATCAAATGAGAGGTTGTAGACCTTTATAGACAGAGTCGTAACAAAAGCCTGCCTTGCAAAGCTTCCTGGAAGGCTGTTCAGCAGATCTGATTGTCCATTTGTTTTCAGGTGAAATTTGAGGGGTTGGGTTTGGCCCAGAAGGCTTCTAACAGTCTAGGAGCAGCCTGTTTCAGGGCTGACACCAGGATCTCCCCTGTCTCTCCCTGGAACTCAGAGGGAGCTGCTAGGACATCAGTATCCAGGACAGGTGAATAAAGAATGGAGAATCACTTCTTTTTGTTTATTTTGAACTTGAATCCCTTCACCTCTCTCAAGTACATCCTTAAAAGAGTGCTCCATCCCTGTCCTGGACATCCCTGTCAGTGACTAACTAGGCACTGATTTACATGGCATGCCTGGCAATCAGCCAGACCCAACATCCACATGTCCTCTTCATTCAAAAACCACTCTGAGCTAAGTGTAAAGGCAGGCACAAACCACACTTTTTACCCTCCCTCCTTTCCTCTGATGATTATTCATCACCTCTTCGAAGGTATTGTGTACAGGTATTCCAAACACCTCTTCCTGCTGCACTTTGGGGTTTGAACTGCTGTTCATAATTCCTCTTTAGTAGCCACTCTTATTTAAGTAGCTCTGTGGGATGAGGGGGGAAAGGAAGCTTTAGCAAGACCCAGATCCACTAAAACACAAACCACCACATTCAACTTGAAAGATTTGTTTAAGCCCCATTAACTTAATTGGGACTTAACGTCTTGTCCATTGGTTGCTCTTGCAGAAGATCCAGCGATGTCTGCAGTGAGCACGTGTGACACCAGCACTGGGAGTGAGCAGGGTGTGACTGTGTCCAAATTGCATCCCCTGTGATCCTCCTGTGTCAGGTAGCTGGGGAGTGGAGGCTGCCTGTCTGTTGAGATTTATTTCACAGGGGCTCTGTGATCCGAGCTTGCTGCTCTGTCCCAGCAGGCACACAGCTGCTCCAAAGGGCTCTGCAAACAATCACACAAACATAGCTGCACTTAGGACTTGCAAACCCTGATTTTTGCCAGTTTGTGTGTCAGGCATTGCCATGCCTAGAAACGACTTGCAAACAGGACCAAAGATCAGGCCTAATTTTAGTAAGCCCTTAGGCTCTGCATCCCCTGGCTGGGCTTGCTTTGATGAAACGCAATCATAGGATGAAAGAAAGCAAAAACCCAGCTGGCACCTGCTGGGAGGGCGGGGAGAGAGAATCTGGCAGACAGGAGGTTCCTACAGAGATTGCCAACACTACTACACATCTGATTTGCTTTTTTGGGCAGCGTGGTGAATCCAAAGGTGATAAACATTTGGCTTGGCTGGCCAGATGAGATGTGCCCGCATCAGACACTGCCCTCAGATCTCCTCTCTCACTGGCATCTCTGCACCTCTCAAGGCAGCTCCTTCTGCTGTGCTTCACATCTCCAGCCCTTGAGTTTCAGCGAGGATTGGGGCTCTGCTGGAGTGAAACACATCAGTGGGAATAGCTGCTCCCTTACAAAGAGCTGGCTGGCTGGGCTGCTGGCTACCAGACATCTGGACAGCCAATTTCACATTTCACTTCGCAGCACAACACAAGGATTGTTGTTAGAGGCTATCTCTGAACCTCAGGAAATTCAGTTATCTGTAGTATTTTTAGGACAACAGCTTTATTTACAGCTCAGTGCCACAGAAAGACAAATGTTTAACCAAACTGGCAATGACTTTGTTCTCCAAATACTTCCAGTGAGGAAGAGTGACTCTGAAGTGAGAAAAACCTTGCTGTTGTCTGAGCAACAAAAGAGGTTAGTAAAGATTCTTGACTACCCTTTCTCTAGCTCTGAAGTCACAAAGAAAATGCTACGGCCCAGCTGTGCTCTTTAACCAAAAGAGCATTTTGTGTTCTTTTTGCACCATTTTTTTTTTCTATAAACACCCAGTGGTTTCACTGTGCCCTGGAACAGGCAGGTGAGGTGGCTCAATACATTCAGCAGCTCGAGTAACTCAGTGCCCTGCAGCAGCAATGAGCCAGCCTCCTCTGACACAGGACAGGCAGCCCTCCACATGTTTGTGATAACCCTTGGGAGCTTCCCAAACCCGTTCCCTGCCCCCACTCTCTCTCTCTCTCCAGACAGGTGAATAAAGAATGGAGAAAGAATCACTTCTTTTTATTTATTTTGAGCTTGAATCCCTTCACCTCTCTCAAGTACATACTTAAAAGAGTCCTCCATCCCTGTCCTGGACATCCCTGTCATCCCTGTACAGCCCCTCGTTGGAGACCCTGCACCCTGTGCCCACCAGCTGGGTTTTATGGGGGTGCTGTGCCCTGCAGGGCCCCTTGTGGGATGGAAGGGGCTGCTCAGGGCATTTCTGTGTCTGCTCTGTGTCACTGGGAACTTGCCTGCACCGGAAACCACGCTAGGAAAACATGCAGACCTTCGTGGAAGCTCCAGCAATTAGGTTAATTAAGGGCTGGGGCAGGCCCATATGTTTTCTGATCTGTTGTTTTTTAGGTCCCCTATTGCACCTGTTCCCACAGCATCCAAACACCCTGCAGGCTTAGGTTTTCCCACTGGAGACATGGGAACAGAAGGATGGCTGTCCCACATCACAGCAAAGACCTGCTTGGCCTCCCATCAAGCAGCAGAAAGAGAAGGCAGGGGATGAGAACAGGACATGTCATCCCCCTGGTACAGGTCCTCTGCTCTTCCTGGGAAGGTCCCAGAGCTCTCCTCTAAGGGTCATTCT